CCTGTCTCTCAGGTCTCCAGACCTGCCCAGGAATTCATGCATGAGGGGGAAGGGAGGAGATGGCCTGTTTGTGGATTCCTCCAGCAGGAGGCCAGGCTGCAAGCCAGGGGGGTGAGGGGCTGCTGAGGTCTGCCTGTGTCAGGGACAAAGAGGACTAGAAGTCCCAGCATGGATGGGACAGAAGGGTGGCAGCCAGCAAACCTGGAGGATGGGGAAGGAAGGACCAGCTCCGTGACACCCTCAATCATCCCTCCTAACACAAATCCCCCCCCCAAACTTCCTCTCCTAGCACAAATATCATCCATATTAGCACAACCCCCCCCCAAAAAAACAAATCACCTCCTAGCACAAATCCCCTCCCCCCTCTACCATATGACCTTTTCCAGAACAAACCCCCCAAATCCCCCCTTCTAGCACAAATCCCATCCGTTGTATGTCATTCACCCTTGTAGCAGGCGTACACCCAGAGATGGACACGGTTCAACCATTTTGGCTTAAACCTCCATCTTGGGAAAGGGTCAACCATCCTGATAAACATATTTCCCCCTCATTCTCCCCCTCCCTCTCTGAGAGCCACAGTGACATCTGGTTGGTGTGGGTGTTGGAAGTGTTGCAGGCAGACCAGAGCACAGCAGGGATCCCCAAAGTGCTTGGTTGTCTAAGAGAGCTGTGCAATATAACACCTCGTAAAAGATAACACAAGCCTTCCCAGGAGTTCAAAGACATTCCAAAGAAGCACGAACCAGATAACACTTTTAAAATCCATTTTTCCCCTATGTCTCATATCTTGTAATATGAGAGACTTACATAAAAACCAGGCATATCTTCCAATTGGCCACGAGGAGACAAACAGTTTGATAGGTCACTCTCACTGGCTGGAATACATAGGAAAGCAGAAAAGTAGATCTCTGGAACCATTCAGTGTATAATTTCATATTTCATATCTAATCATTCCTCAGATGTGTCTGCATAATAATCTACCCCCGGGTGGAATGTCACTTGTGCATATGGAAAGTTATGAGCCAAAATATGAACTAGAAGAGATTTTGGCTCTAGTTTAGGCCTACGCCCAGACGATCCCTTCCTAAATGGGGTATTGGTCCTTGACTTCAGAGACACCCCCTGCTGGGGAACTACAAAATGTGTTGTTAGGCCTAAGAGAATTAAGTTGAAGAATCCTCCCTTTTACCATCAGAACCAACCTGGGAGACGTGCCCTTTTGCTTTGAAACTTGATTTGCAAACCCAAGGCTGATTGGCAAGTACTTTAACCCTTTAACCTCCTTTCTGTCACCTCTTTGCTGTGCTGTTGTTCTCTGTGTATTTACATATATTGGTTACCTCTTTTCTGTAAATATTTTTATTGCACCCTTTTGACCTTTCAGTAATAAATCTTTCCTTCTGAAAGTGTTGAACTGTTTCTATAGCTCTTTATTGCAATTTACAAATTCCTGCCTCTAAAAAGAGCGCTACTGTGTTTGTTTAACCCTCTGTATAACTGGTCTGCGGTGACAGTGTTATACAGATGATTATCTCAACCATCATAGTGCTATAGCTGATATTGCCGAGTTTCCTCTTTCTCTGTACAAAAAGGAGGTGGTGGCAGTGTGAAGGGTTAATTGCATAATTAACCTGACCCAGTAACAATCTCTCCCAGGCTGCCGGTACATAGATTGTGGTCCAATTAGCTGGAAAATCGTTGTGCAGGGTGCAGCTGGGCATGGCATTGTTACGCACGTGACATCGCGGTTTTAGATTGGCTGGTCCTTCGGTCACGAGTTTGGTGAGAAGGTCAGGGGTCTGACGCCGCGTTCGTCACAACCCTGGCAAACCGTTGCACTACATTTGATGACCCTAAAAAGCTGACATCCACTTTTTATAATTCCCGTCTTTGGCTGGAGCCTATTGATCTAGCTTACCAGCTAAAAACAAAATGGGTGGTGAATGTAGGGAAGCTGGAGGATGACAAATGGGAGGAAATCTTACAATATGGTAAAACTGGTCTCCCCAAAACTTTCTGACTGCCTTATAGACCTATAAATTCTACATAGAGCTTACTTGACTCCCACTCAGTTGGTCAAAAATACTGTAGGCCTCAGTATGGCCCTTCCTGTCCTAGATGTAGGGATCCTAGTGGTTCTTTCTATCATCTAATCTGGTCTTGCCCAGTTATCCAAGGTTTTTGGTCTCAGATGGTCTGGTTCCTACATGATCTTATGGGCTCTCCATTAACCCTATGCCTAAAACAATGTCTCCTGGGACTTCTGCCCAATCAACACAGCAATAAATGTTTTTCTTCAAGAAAGGCTTTATGTTACCAGCATGCTGACAGCAAGGGTCTGGCTTAGGGCCTTGCCTCTGACAATTCAGCATTGGATTGCTGCCATTATTCTTACCTTACCCTACAAAAAAGTTATATATATATATATATATATATATATATATATATATATATATATATATATATAAGTAGTCCCACCAAATACAATAATCTATTTGAGATAGATGGTTAGAGCAACCCTCCACATGCAATGTGGATAAATCTTAAGACATATAATCGGTATCCTTTCCGTTTATTGCTCCATGACTGTGTTAACTATGTAATCAAACATTTCTGTCATCAGGAATCCATCATGGTATGGAGTTGTTTGCATGGCTCCTTTGCATATTATGTATGTTTTTTTCTCTTTTGACCAAAAAAAAAAAATTGCAGCACAACATAAAAACTTGCATACTGTGTATCAAATCAGTAAGCATTTTTCGCTCTTTAATATGGCATAACATTTTTATATTTTCATACATTTTGGCTTTTCTCTGCATCCTAAATTGCAATCTACTAAAGGTGCTTACATAATGCACATCAAATATGTACAGTATTTCTGACTCATGTCTGAAATCACACACATTAAATTTTGATTAAACTGTAAAACTGCCTGTTCTCTCCCTGTTTTATTGCAGACTACAAAAGCTGCTTACATGGGGTGCATCAAATTATTTGGTGATAAATCAACAAAACATGAAACTGTTAAATTTATTTTAATTTCACTGCTAGCATCTGTGGCTGGCAGTGGCAGGGTGACAGTTGCAGTGAGTGGAGGATGATGGGTCCACACTCTGACAGATCCCAGGCTGGAATTCCCCAGGCAATGGGGGGAGATAAAACACAGTGATAGCAGGCAGCCCAGCCCAGCCCAGCCCAGCCCAGCCCACACAGATCAGCAGGCCCAGCATTCACTAGAAGAGCAGGCTTTGGGGTTATGATGATGTCATCACTTACTGACACCTGTGATGGATGGCCAGCAGACACACTGCAGACACGAGACATCAGAGTCAAACATTACCTTCTTCCACAGATGCAGCTTTGCCTCCGCTGATGAATGGGAAGAGAAGGGCTGGAACTCCACAGTGATCAGCAGCCAGCTTGCAGTAGGGAACTGAGTCTGAGAGGAACACTGGAAGGAGTGGCAGCTCAGCTGCTACACTGGCCCCAGACACCCAACATCTTTCTTCTGTCCTTTCTTCCTCCCTCTCCACACTTCCCATCATCTGGAGGATCATGACGTGGCAGCATTGCGCACAGAGAAAGCCTTTCCTGTGCCCAGGCACCTCTAGGTGGCAGGGCACCTGCCAGGGGTGATCCACACCCCCCTACCCCCATAGTGATGTGACCAGTAGGGGGCCCCATGGGAAACTCTTGGATCTAAGATGGTGCTGCAGATCTCAGTTGCCCCCCCCAAAAGCCTTCAGTCCCTCCTTCTGCCTCCACCCTGGTCACTGTGCCCAGCCACCATACTCCTTCTCACAGGGCTGAGACACAGCATAATATGGTGGGGGAAGGGCATCAGCAGCGTCGCTAGCTCCCGGCATTCCCGGTTCTGCCCTGCTGCGATCTCTGGCCAGCACCACATCTCTTCCTGTTTGTCAAATAGGTCTGGCGAAGCATTCTAGCCTCCTTCCTATAATGACCAGCGAAGAAAATGGCAGTGGGCAGAAGTTAAGCAAAGTGAATTTGAAAGGAGAGTGGCAAGGATTGAAGTAAAAGGAGAATGTTAAGACTGGACTGAATGATCACAAATTGTGAAAAAGTCTCTTTAATTCCCCCTCTCTCACCCCCACACCTCTCTCTCACCCCCCCCCTCCTCTCTATTTTACCCCACTCTTATCTCACCCCCATTACCTCTCTCTCACCCTCTCTCTCTCTCTCTGATCTCCTCTCCCTCACCCTCCCCTTACCTTATCTATCCCTCTCCACTTATTTCTCTCTCAACTCCCCCTCTCTCACCCCCCATCTCTTAATCCCTTTCTCTCAGCCCCTTCCAAACTCTCTCACCCTTATTGGGAGGGGGGTGACACCATGTTTTACTGCACCAGGTGACACCAACCCTAGTGATGCCACTGCTGAATTGACCTTACTATTCTCTTGTCTGCTGCCTGTCCCACAACTTTCACTTGAATCTGACTTTCTTCTCTACCGTCTTGCCCATTGCTGACTTGTCCATTGCTGACCTCTGCCTGGATCCAACTATTCTCCAGTCACTCCCTGGTGTACCATTTCCATACGTAGCCTCTCAGTCAGTACTCACCTCTTGGTTGGGCTATTCTGAGGGCCATGACCTGTTTCAGTCATGCAGTTAAACTCATATCCATAATCAGAAAGTTGGGTGAAAACTGGCTGGTGCATGGGTTTCTTGGGTGAGCCAACATCACCCGCCAGGGGAGTGTTACTGCAAGGGGACCATATAAAGGAGATAGTGTTTCCTTGTTTTCGAAACCTTTGAGACAACTTATTGTGTGGCTTCCAAGGTGGCCTATGTTATGAGATCTCACATATAATTTACGGGCACACTCCTTTATACGATCTATCATGGATCACTCTTCAAGGAACAATGTGGGGTCAGGGACTTTTTGCATTTAAAAAAGTCCCTGACCCTTTCCAAAAAATGCACCAGGAGAAAACGCGGAGAGGTGAACCTGTCCTATAGGAAATCATGTTATATGATTAAGGGGGGCTCCCACTATCTCTGTGTTGAGTTCCCAGGTCTGTACACCTGCTGTGTCCATTATGAGGGGTTCCCACAATGCCTGTGCTGAGTTCCCGGGTCTGTACACCTGCTGTGTGCATCGTGAGGGGATTCCACCATTTCTGTGTTGGGTTCCTGGGTCTATACACCTGCTGTGTCGATTATGAGGGGTTACCACCATCCCTGTGCTGGGTTCCTGGGTCTGTACACCTGATATGTCCATTAGAGGGAATTCCCACCATCCCTGTGCTGGGTTTCTGGGCCTGTACACCTGCTGTGCCCATTATGAGGGGTTCCCACTATCTCTGTGTTGATTTACTGGGTCTGTACACTTGCTGCATCCATTATGAGGGGTTCCCACCATTCATGTGCTGAGTTCCCAGATCTGTACACCTGCTGTGTGCATTGTGAGAGGTTTCCACATCCCGGTGTTGGGTTCCTGGGTCTGTACATCTGCTGTGTCAATTAAGGGGGCCTCCAACTATCTCTGTGTTGAGTTCCCAGATCCGTACACCTGCTGTACCCATTATGAGGGGTTCCCCACTATCTCTGTGTTGAGTTACTGGGCCTGTACACCTGTTGCGCCCATTATGAGGGGTTCCCACTATCTCTGTGCTGAGTTCCCAGATCCGTACACCTGCTGTGCCCATTATGAGGGGTTTCCACTATGACTGTGCTGAGTTTCTCGGGTCTGTACACCATGCCTATGCCCATTATGAGGGGTTCCCGCCATCCATGTGCTGAGTTCCTGGGTCTGTAAACTTGCTGTACCCATTATGAGGGCTTCCCGCTATCCAGGTGCTGAGTTCCCGGGTCTGTACACTTGCTGTACCCATTATGAGGGCTTCCCGCTATCCAGGTGCTGAGTTCCCGGGTCTGTACACTTGCTGTACCCATTATGAGGGCTTCCCGCTATCCAGGTGCTGAGTTCCCGGGTCTGTACACTTGCTGTACCCATTATGAGGGTTTCATGCTATCCAGGTGCTGAGTTCCTGGCTCTGCCCTAAGGTTGATTGAAAAAGAGTGAAGAACTGGAGATCTCAGCACTCGATTTCCACACAAAAATGATGTCAGGGTCATTTAGGCCAACCAGGACCATCTGTTGAGGTGGACCGAGCCTTACACAATTCAAAACCATCAGATTCTCTGCATAGCTACTTAAGGAATTCAAGTAGTCCAGAAGTTTGACCCTGTCAGCTAGATGATGATAAAGAAAAAACACACATGTTACATGGTAAGACACTGGATGACACTTTATTATTCGTATTAGATATGTGGTCATCTGCAGTGTGACTTCCGCCATGACACCAAGGGATCAGGATTATAGTGTTGGTCTGTCACCGATGGTCCTGTGATGTGTCACGCTATATTGCAGCCTGGTCCTGTGGATGGTAAAGAATAAAAAAAAATCACAAGAAATAGTCAATAAACATAAAGTAAAAGTGTTAGCAACAAACAAATGCAAAGGATCTAAAAATGTTTTTGTTTTTAATATGGTTGAGATATAAAATTCAGAAGAAACCACTTCTCAGGGGTGGGACCTTCTGTAGTGAAGGAACCACTTCTCAGGGGTGGGACCTTCTGTAGTGAAGGAACCACTTCTCAGGGGTGGGACCTTCTGTAGTGAAGGAACACACTTCTCAGGGGTGGGACCTTCTGTAGTGAAGGAACCACTTCTCAGGGGTGGGACCTTCTGTAGTGAAGGAACCACTTCTCAGTGGTGGGACCTTCTGTACTGAGGAACCACTTCTCAGGGGTGGGACCTTCTATATTGAAGGAACCACTTCTCAGGGGTGGGACCTTCTATATTGAAGGAACTACTTCTCAGAGGTGGGGCCTTCTGTATTGAAGGAACCACTTCTCAGGGGTGGGGCCTTCTGTACTGTGTGACTTCCGCCATGACACCAAGGGATCAGGATGATAGTATTGGTCTGTCACCGATGGTCCTGTGATGTGTCACGCTATATTTCAGCCTGGTCCTGTGGATGGTAAAGAATAAAAAAAAAAAAATCACAAGAAATAGTCAATAAACATAAAGTAAAAGTGTTAGCAACTCAGGGAACAAATGCAAAGGATCTAAAAATGTTTGTTTTTAATATGGTTGAGATATAAAATTTAGAAGAAATTATTTCTCAGGGGTGGGACCCTCTGTAGTGAAGGAACCACTTCTCAGGGGTGGGACCTTCTGTACTGAAGGAACCACTTCTCAGGGGTGGGACCCTCTGTACTGAAGGAACCACTTCTCAGGGGGTGGGACCCTCTGTAGTGAAGGAACCACTTCTCAGGGGTGGGACCCTCTGTACTGAAGGAAGCACTTCTCAGGGGTGGGACCCTCTGTACTGAAGGAAGCACTTCTCAGGGGTGGGACCTTCTGTACTGAAGGAAGCACTTCTCAGGGGTGGGACCTTCCTGCTGATGGCCATTGCTTAAGAGTTTCAATAAAGCAACCCTGCTCGTATAGTACACTTTCTGACCTCCTCTTTACCTCTCTCTCCTGTAGTGACCTCAGCAAGTAAGAATTGCAGAGGACCCAGAATATCAGGGGGGGGGGTGTGTGTGTGTGTGTGTGTGTGTGTGTGTGTGTGTGTGTGTCCAATGTGAACTTATGAAAAACTGGGGTAAACTGATGAAAAACAGATGTAAACTGATAAAAAAAAACTGATGTAAACTGGTGAAAAACTGATGTGAACTGATAAAAAATTGATATAAACTGATAAAAAAATCCAATGTGAACTGATGAAAAACTGGGGTAAACTGATGAAAAACAGATGTAAACTGATAAAAAAAACTGATGTAAACTGGTGAAAAACTGATGTAAACTGATGAAAAATGGATGTGAACTGATAAAAAATTGATGTAAACTGATGAAACCTGACATGAATTGATGTGAACTGATGAATAACTGATGTGAACTGATGAAATACTGATGTAAACTGATAAAAAAACTGATGTAAACTGGTGAAAAACTGACGTAAACTGAAGTAAACTGGTGAAAAACCAATGTGAACTGATAAAACATTGATGTAAACTGATGAAAAAACTGGTGAATAACTGACGTAAACTGATGAAAAACTGATGTGAACTAATAAAAAAAAACTGATGTAAACTGGTGAAAAACTGACAAACTGGTGAAAAACCAAGGTGAACTGATACAAAATTGATATGAACTGATGAAAAACTGACATGAACCGATGTGAACTGATGAATAACTGATGTAAACTGATGAAAAACTGATGTGAACTGATGAAAAACTGATGTAAACTGATGTGAACTGAAGAAAAACTGATAAAAAGCTGACGTAAACTGGTGAAAAATCAATGTGAACTAATAAAAAATGTAAGTAAACTGATGAAAAACTGATGTAAACTGGAGAAAAACTGATGTAAAACTGATGTGAACTGATAAAAAACTGACGTAAACTGGTGAAAAACCAATGTGAACTGATAAAAATTGATGTAAATTGATGAAAAAAACTGATATAAACTGATAAAAAAAACTGCTGTAAACTGGTGAAAAACTGACGTAAACTGATGAAAAACTGATGTGAACTGATAAAAAATGATGTAAACTGGTGAAAAATTGACATAAACTGGCAAAAAAACGATGATGTGAACTGATAAAAAATTAATGTAAACTGATGAAAAACTGACATGAACCGATGTGAACTGATGATAAAAAAAACTGATGTGAACCGATGAATAACTAATGTAAACTGATGTGAACTGATGAAAAACTGATGTGAACTGATGAAAACTGACATGTAAACTGATGTAACTGATGAAAAAACTGATGTGAACTGATGCAAAACTGACGTAGTAAAACTGATCGTGATGCAAAACTGACGTGAACTCGGATGTAAACTGAAAAAAAACATCCATTTTTCCTTGGAAAAAAAAAGTGACTGAACTGATGAAAAAAAAAGGAACCCCGTGTGAAAGCGCTGTCACGGAACTGGTCCTTTCTTCCCCATCCTCCAGGTTTGCTAGCTGCCATCCACCACCCCTCAGCAGCCCCTCACTTCTCTGTCCCGTCCATGCTGGGATTTCTAATCCTCCGTGTCCCTGACACAGGCAGCCCTCAGCAGCCCCTCACACCCCCCTGGCTTGCAGTCTGGCCTCCTGCTGAAGGAATCCACAAACAGGCCATCTCCTCCCTTCCCCCTCATGCACAAATTCCTGGGCTCCCTGGACAGGACCCCTTGCCATGGTAACCCGACAGGAAGTATCAGGTTACCAGCTCAATACTTAAGAAAGAGCAGGAAAACCCCTCCTGTGTTCTCCTGGATGCGTGTGTGAGGGAAGGCTTTGCTGAGGGCCAGCTTCTCTCATCCAACCATTCCCCAACCATCCCCCATCATCCTCCTCATCTACTGGACTGTCTGTGCTGCCTGGAATCCCTGCACTGTGGAGGAATCTTCTGCTGTCCCCGGGAACCTGCTTGGCTGGATCTATCCCCTGCCTGGACTTAACCCCTTGTTCTCCCCTGCCTGGGATCTATCCCCTGCCTGGACTTAACCCTAGTTCTCCGTGAACCTGCCTGGCTGGATCTATCCCTGCCTGGACTTAACCCCTTGCTCTCCGTGAACCTGCCTGGCTGGATCTATCCCCTGCCTGGACTTAACCCCTTGTTCTCCGTGAACCTGCCTGGATCTATCCCCTGCCTGGACTTAACCCCTTGTTCCCCGTGAACCTGCCTGGCTGGATCTATCCCCTGCCTGGACTTAACCCCTTGCTCTCCGTGAACCTGCCTGGCTGGATCTATCCCCTGCCTTAACCCCTTGTTCTCCGTGAACCTGCCTGGCTGGACTCTATCCCCTTGCCTGGACTTAAGCCCTTGCTCTCCGTGAACCTGCCTGGCTGGATCTATCCCCTGCCTGGACTTAACCCCTTGTTCTCCGTGAACCTGCCTGGATCTATCCCCTGCCTGGACTTAACCCCTTGTTCCCCGTGAACCTGCCTGGCTGGATCTATCCCCTGCCTGGACTTAACCCCTTGCTCTCCGTGAACCTGCCTGGCTGGATCTATCCCCTGCCTGGACTTAACCCCTTGTTCTCCGTGAACCTGCCTGGATCTATCCCCTGCCTGGACTTAACCCCTTGTTCTCCGTGAACCTGCCTGGCTGGATCTATCCCCTGCCTGGACTTAACCCCTTGTTCTCCGTGAACCTGCCTGGCTGGATCTATCCCCTGCCTGGACTTAACCCCTTGTTCTCCGTGAACCTGCCTGGCTGGATCTATCCCCTGCCTGGACTTAACCCCTTGTTCTCCGTGAACCTGCCTGGATCTATCCCCTGCCTGGACTTAACCCCTTTTTCTCTGTGAACCTGCCTGGACTTAACCCATCCCTGCCTGGAGCCTCCTGTGTGGATTAATCCTGTGGATTACAAAACCCCTGTGGTTCCATATTGCCTTCCAGAGAACTGTACTGTGTTGCTGTGTCTGGTGTGGATCTGTGGACTAAAGGAACTGTTGTCTGTGCCCCAAAAACCTCCCCAATAAAAGCCGGGTTCTGTGCAATCTGTCTCTGTGTGCTCTCTGGTTCTCTTGACAGGGCCTTATGCAGGCCATAGATGAGTCAAAAATCGGCCAATTTTTCGGCCGAAAATAAAATCGGCCAATTTTCGGATCGTTAGTGGGTTTATAGGTCGGTCG